ATGAAATAAAATATATTTATTATAAAAGAAATTTTTTTTTTGTGAGGTATATGAGAATAAACTACAGTTCTTCGCTTGTTTTTAAGAGTTTTTTGTAGAAATGCCAAATATAAATAAATTATAATTGTTCTATTATGTATGTATTGTGAAAATTTATGAGTACATATATTCATGGCTATACATTAGTACCAAACAAGTTATTGATTTTATAAATATCCATTACATACTCTATACATTAACGTGTATTTTCCAACCAATACAAAAATCAATTTCTTTTAATGTATTTTACAAATACAATTCACACTTATTGTAGAATTAATATTATTAATAATTAATAATTTATCTTTATTTAAATTATGAACATTAATTACTATTGATTACTTATGAATATTCCTTAAAGTTTGAAAAATAGTTAAACTAAAATATACTTTTTCAATTATTTTAGTCGATAATAACAAAAGTAAAATATGTAATAGAGGTATGTATATAGAATCACAGAATTTCATTTTAATATTTGTTCATAATTATCATATGCATTTATTAATTCAACACTAACTTTCAATATTTTATTATGCCTGTATATTTCGTTAAATAATATTGTTTAATAGATGCAAACTATTAAACAAGAAGAATCTTGTTAAAATTGAAAACTATATTCAATTTATTGAAAAATATACTCGATGTATTAATTGTACTAGCATTTAAGCTATTTTTATTACTATTATTATTTATGATACTACTATTACTATTATTTTATTTATTAAATAATATTAAGTATGCTTAAGTTTTTGAAAATTATAATCCTTTTCATAAATTTCGTAATGAAAATACTCTTTTCATTCATTCTAATTATTTGTGCAAAATAATGTAAAATGCAAAAAATTAAAATAAAAATTTTGAAGACGATGATATTGCATTTTATTAAAAAATATTTTCCCTTAAATAAAATATATAATATATGAAAAATAATTATTAATCAATACATAAAATTTATTTATTCAAATAACACATTAGTTTAGCATTAAAAAGTTGTAAGTATTGAAAATTTTGAAAGACTCAATATAACTAATTAGAAAAGGACGAATGATTTTTTTTTGTAAAGAGAATGAACAATAAAAGATTTTAATTTGTTCTAGATTTTATTAATATCCTTTTGTTGACATATTTAAAAAATAAAATTATTAATAATGTAGATGATGGACATTCATGTAAATGTACGTTACTCGAGAGATTAAGAAAAGAGTGCAAAGTAAAAAATATCAGTGATAGTAGCTGTAGCTTTGTGAACTCTGAGTAATTATCGACCGAATGGAGAAAATCCATTTTTGTTTCTATTTCTCGTGTGGCAAATAAGAGGAAAAGATGAGTCTGTATTAAACTAACTCGTTGAACTATGTTTTATGTCCTTTTTATAAGTAGAGAATGAGGTAGCTAAGCATTGAAGATAGACAATAGGTTCATAGATAGAGACAAATTAAGAAAAGAATATAGAATAGAAGGAATAGAAAATAAAAAAAATTAATATTAATATATAGGTTAGTGTCTAGTGTCAAAACAAAGAGGAAATTAATAAAAGATAGAAAACGTGTGATGAATGGAAGAGAGAAAAGTGTCTTATGATTATATTTTTTATAATCTCATTTATTCAATTTATTAACATTGTTACGAATGTTTCAGAAGTATTTTTTATAATTTTTCAATTATAAATTATAAGAAATTGTTTCCTTTTATATATTTATGTAACAATATATTTTTTTAATTTTAATATTGTGTTATTAGAAAACATAAAACTATAATGACAATATGTGAAGTATATTAGAAAAATATTGAAAATATAATAGAAAGCATCAATTGGTCTCCTAAATTTATAACTTGAGGATCTGCTATATGTCTCGGAATAAATTGAAAAAGAAGTAAGTAACAAAATTTAATTTATTTTTGAAATGGAAGAATTTTGCAAGCGAAATACTTTATTTTTTCGAAATTAAAATTGAAATTCGAAAAAATAGTGAATTTTATACTCTTGAGAGGAGCCATTCTCGATATATTTTTATGCATGACCGAAAAATGTTTGTAACATATATCAAGGCGTCATATTGTGTTTAAGTATTAGAATTATACGAGGCACACACTTTTTACTTTTTGAGCATAGCAGTAGTGGCGTCGTTATTCCAGGACCGAAGAAATGTAGCATATACATGAATAGCTAGGATCATAAAATAGCTAAACAGAGAGAGTGTGAGAGAGAGAGAGAGAGAGAGAGAGAGAGAGATGATGATGTACAAAAGTAAATGCAAGAGTAAGACGGAGGTTGATGAAATTGATAGGGTTGGAATACAAATTTTCGAATTTTATACATTTAATATACCTTTCCAATAATAAAAATGTTAGCGTACGTAGCGTATATATTTATTAATTATTTATATAATATATATATATATATATATGTGTGTGTGTATGTGCGATATAATCACCTTTAAAAATAAATTTTAAACTAGCTGATTAGGTTGTAACAATGACAATCAAGATTTAAGTTAATTTGTACATTACTATAATAATCAATGTTGACAAATTAATTTTTCATGTATTTTTAATCATTTTATGCTATGTTATAACAAAAATATTAATATTCTTTTAATAAAAACTAATTTGTTTAAAAACAAAAGTTTAAAATTAAATTCTAATACCGTAGAATCACAATAGATTTTACTACTAATGTATGTATATTTATACAATAGATATTCGATTAAATTATACATTTAATTGAATAAGAAGCTATTAATAAGCCTTGATATACATAAAAAAGCAATAAAAACATTATTGGGATATCGTTTGGATTGAGACATATCACTAATATCTTTGCATTTTATAATTAGAGCATTATTTTTATTAAAGTTCCAAAATATTTCAATTCAATTAAAAATATTTCAATAAACATGGAATTTTAATGATAGTAAACTTGAATAATATTATATAAGTTTTACTATTTTTAAATTATTGATATTTTTAATTAAAAACAAATAGTAATGATAAAGCTATTATTCGTATAATGTTAATATATATGTTTCAAATATACAGAATCTGTGTGTTAAAAAATCGTGTAGGCATTTAAGTGTATATAGAAATAATATTATCTAAACAATAATTGCGATATTTAGCAATAATAAGTATATCAATTTGTGAAGTGTATAAATTTCTTAATATATATTATATTAGTAAATATGTACATCAGCTTATTAAACTTTAATGAAATTTAATCCGAATAAATGCATTTATGCCATTATTAGGCCTGTCATTAATAAAGTCAGAGATAATCTTAATACAATTGGATATCTGCTTCTTTTATTATGGATAGAATAATAATTGATAACATTTGAAATACTGGCTGAACTACAGGCTGATACGATAAAAATTTGTAGTAATGCTGTATGGAAGTCGATATCTAGAAAACATTTAAAATATTCATACAAATAATTCATATTGTGATTGCATGTATTTAAATCGATTTATTAAATTGATATATAGTATTAGTAGACAGCATCACGGGCTATAAGTTGTTTCAATTATTATTAATTATGCTAACTATTTTGGAATAACAACAATTTAATTAATTCTAATAAACTGATTTCACTATATTGTCTGTAATAAAGCCTAAGTGCAAGCTTATGCTTTCGAGGCTTTTCGTTAGCCTAGTCATATTAGCGGCTGAATAATAACGTGCAAATGCAATAGTTGCGACAGTATATATAGTGACAATCACTCACCCTGAAATTCCTTCCGGGCGGCACTCACGGATGTAACGATGTTGGCCACATGTCCGAGTACTGTCGCAAATAGTAGCAGTCCAAAGAGTAGCTGTCCTATTACGAACAGATACTCCCCCTTACTTCTTGGCCTAGAAAATTGTTAAGTGCTCGGGTTGAAATTGTCACCTCTAGTACATATTTTATTTAGTTTATGATAGACACGATAGGCGTTACGCTTATTGACATTGCAGAACCATTACTTTTATTATCAAGAAATAGCATTGGACTTTATTCGAGTGGAGTTCAATCGAACTTCGAGTCAATATTTGAAACTGATTACCAATATTATTGACATTATAACTTAACTAGATAAATACCAAATAAATAAATTCTAAAAATATTAAGGTTATTAAAAACCGTATATTTATCAAATGCTTTAATCGTCACTAAATAAATGGAGTTGGTTCACGATAATGATTAAATTGTTAATATTATTCTTATTAACGTGTGCACGTCCATGCATATGAGTGTATTTATATTTAGATATATAAATGTTTTAGAATTATATATAGTCGAGTTGTGAAATAAATATTTAATGATGAGATGAAAATAGTTATTGATTTTTCCAACAGATGTGTTTTTTCGTTACTACACATTTTATTTATTACATAATTATTTCAATAATAATAAAATTATATAATGTAAAATATATAATGTAAAATATATAATATAATATATGTACTATTGTAACTTAAATTAATAGAAATTAAATTATGAATGACTATAAAGGAAATATTTAATTTAAAATTATTTATCTATCTATGTATTGTAAATAAATTTAATACGATCTCGTAAAAGTAATAATTTTCTTTGATATAAAACTGTTTAAATTTTTTGTGCGTATTCAGTACATAAGAATTTCATAATTCAGTATCTTTTTGAATATTTAATTATTAAAATTCCGAATTAGGTACATTAAAAAATAGTAAAGAATAAATACAAAAAGTAAAATTAATCAAATTTGTATTGAATTATAATTTTTTTCAAGTATATTTTAATACTGTGATCTTTATTTACAAACGTGAAAAATTTTAATACAACATAAAACTATAAATTAATAGAAAAGATTTATAATTTCTATTAAATAATTAAGTCGTCTTAAAATTATTTCTTATAAATATTTATTTATTGAAAAATTTAATAATCATTATTATTAAATTATTTATTCGAAGGGTAATACATGAATTTAATATCTTAACAACTACAAAGTTATATTACGAATAGTAAATATTAGAGAATTAGAAAATTGTTGTATATTTCTTTAAATCATCTACGGTAATATTTAAATAATTGTATTAATAGCATTATAGTTTTCTAACCGCCAATAATATTTATTATATTAAATTACTCATTTAATTGTAAAATTGTTTAATTTATCAAATATTTTAATTTGTTTGTGTATTTGTTTCTTTTGCTTGCAAACACATAAACTATTTAAAAAACAATTTTATTTAAAAAACAATTATAATTCGGAATGAAATGTATGTTTTCTTATTCTACTGGACAAAGATAAAAATAATGAATGGCTCACCTTGGTAGATCTCCAATCGTCGTAAGAGCCAAAGTACACCAATAATAACTCTGTAAATATTGCTTTACAACGTCAGCTGTCTCAGAATCGCTAAATACCCAGTTTTTGCTCCCAAAACCATTGTTTTTATAAATAATATGATAGAGGCACCCGTTCCAGTGAAATATCACTAATAAATAATGTATTAACGATGTAGAGCGAAATAAATTTGGATAGTTTGTGTGTCGCTCAGTTCTGTCCATAAAAGCCCAAAATCTGTAATAAAAATATTCAGGGATTATATACTCTTATATTGTATTTAAAATTTTCAATAAGCAATATTATAAAAAAAATTATAAAACACCATTAGTAAAAGCTTTAATTATTATATAATAATTGTCATTTTCATGCAGTTAGTGAAATTTTTTATTATTAATATAATAACGCACATATTAAAGTTTTTTAGTTTATTTATAAGAAATAGAAAATAAGTAAACTTTAAATTAAATACGTTCACTTTTAAGGATGGAAGTGTAATAAAAATTCGTTGAAGTCAAGAAAATGAAATAAAGACACCAAATTACTACCAATAAATATTTATCAATATTAAATAAACAGCATTTATGCAATTATTATCGTATTAAATACATTGTGCACGCGTGTGTGCATATGCATTTGTACATCGGTGTATGCAGATCCATCAATGTAAATATAATCTTATGAAATGTGTTTTAATTTTAATAATGAATTGAAATTTTAGTTCTAAATATAATGTTTATGCTAACAATTATACCGCCGGATTAAGTATCAGCATTAATGATACGATATTGCTTAAAATTTATATATAATAACATACAACGGCAATGACAAAAGCTTTTAGAAGTAACTGATGAAGTTTAAAATATCTCATGTATTACCGGTAAATTTTAATGAGCCTAAAACTCCGCAGTATACTGTTAAATCCTATAGATAAGTATAAACAGTCAAGAGGCAACAGGCACAAGCAGTCTATGTAAAAGGTGGTGCTATTCATATAGTGTGTTCGCAGTTTCGTTGCATCCGTCTGCAGAACACCATCTTCGAGGTAACCCGTACGAAAGTGGAAAGCTATGTCCACTAGATACAAGAAGTCCGAGAGATAGTCCAAGCAAAACCACACTAGTCGGGTCTCCACTGCATTAATGTTATAAAATTTGTATTAGAATTTTTTGTCATTAGGATACTTTTATACTTCGTATACGTGAGGAAGTGAGTATGTGTGTTTATATATATATATATATATATATATATATATATATATATATATATACGTTTTATTAATTTTCTTATGACAAATTAGATAGAATATTTTGATTTTAAGAGTCAAAAAGAGTAAAAAAATTACTTAATCTAACAATTGATGTTTGAACGATTTACTTTCATTATTCTAATTAGAATAACATTTGAAATCTAGCGCAATATTTTTTTTCTATGAAAATAAAAACTTGAAATAAAAATGATCTCAAAATTTATTATTAATGTAAAAAATGTATAACTATTAAATAATATAGAGTAGAGAGAAATATTTTTGTATTTAAAATTTATTTTTCTATCAACACAATGAAGAAAGTTCATTAAAAAGGAAAACATTTTCACTAATGTTTATAGTAATAATTAGAATCTGATTAAATTATCTAATAAAAGTTATAATAACTTAGATTAAAAAAAAACATTGAAATAATAATAATTGTTTACCAATAAAATATGTAACATCTGTAAAAGTTTGTTAGCTCTAAATTGTCTTCTATTTATTTTATATTTTATTTTATATTGAGTTTCAAATTAAATAATATATAATACTTTTACAAAAAAAAATTTTGCATGTAATTATGCGCTCTATTATTGAGTTACTAATTTTCTTTAATTTTCTATTAAATTACTATTAATCATTTATTATCTTCAATTATTTATTTTTATCACGTATATCTATTACAATATTATTACGTATATTGTTTCGATTTTCAAGCTACTTTTATTTAATTTGATGTAATTTGTCGTATACATTTTTAATTATAATTAATTAATTGTAAAGTGCAACTTGAATTACCGCGAGTTCGAAATTTTATCGAAAATTTCCGCCGTTTATAACGTTGCTTTATGCGTCAAAATTATGCTAATTTATTCAACTACGTTTTTTTGTATTTTTTAATACGAGATTCTAAAGGAATAGTTGCACAAACTTAGATCGAAGAATGTAAAGGAAAAATGTCTTTTAATGGAAAGGTGGAAACTATCTGCAAAATTAAGTTCCATTCTATTGCCCATCTTTGTTTTAAGCGAATACGTAGAACTACTCACCGTTGATCTCCTGGAAAGCGAACCTGTAGATGATGACCCAAAAGTTGTATAAGAAGGCGAGCGAGACAACCATCGACCAATAGTAACAGAGTCGACCAGCTGGATCGAAGACAAACGACCAGTTGGGCGCTCCGGTCCTGAAGCCACGCGAGCCTGATTGGCCCGGGTAGCCCCGACTTCCTCGTTGCTGCTGCTGCTGCTGGGCTGTATAGCGCCTGTGTATTTAACATTTGATCCTACTAATATTGATTCTTCGAATTGTCATTGAATATTTTTTCCAAGAGATTTGGTAATAAATGTTCAGGACTTATTATCCCTTTGTCATATTAATTCGTAGCGGCTCTTGAGACGGAACATCAACTTGCGAGAATCAGCTTGATGTGCATTAAAATACGATCTCAATCGGTTGTGGATAGTTTAAAAATTGTAGTGCATTATCAGTGCTTTGACATGAATTATATGGAAAGACATATTATGGTTTCATAATTTGCTTTTACTATAATCATATGTTCAATACCAAGCCATTTCGGAAAAATTTATCGACGAAATAAACGGTAAAATTAATGAAGTAAGTATAATTATAATTCTTTTGTTGAAATTTATATCTGCCAAGATTATTTATATTCATTAAATATAGTACGATCTGAATGGTAAGTATCTTGTTCTACACAAATACATAATGTAAGATTTATGCTGCTTGCTTACTAAGTAATAACTTTAATTTAATAGGGATGTCGTAATTCATTAAAATTAAATGTATAATTTACCGAAATTTCATAAGGAAAAGTTTTATTTTATTTCTTAATTCATATATTATAGCACGTTTAACGCTTTAAAACGCTGCCAATGTTTATTCACTTTAATCTTAGTTTAAATTACAAATTATTATTAATAATTTATATATTAATGATATAAATATAGTAATAATATAGATGGTGAAGAATAATGTATAAATAATTATATATTTTCGTCCATTATGCTGATAATCGTGTGAGTTAATCGCATACATTAAGTAAAATTCAATGGCACATGAAGGGCTAATTAAATGTCCAATCGTTTCTCTACTTTTGCTATTATCGTTCGCTATATCCTTATGGTCTACTTACGTTTCCGTTCCGTTACAGCCACTGTTCCTACTTAAATGGTTGATCGAGGCTGGCGTATGGAGATGCGAAGGCGTTGTATCGCGGCCCGGCATCGGCGTCGAGGACAGCATTACGGCATTTGGTAGTTTGAATCTGCCTCTCATATGATCTTTACGTCGAGTCTTTCGGCTCAGGTCGAGTTCGCTCGCACCTCTATTTACATAGGCGCCCTGCAGCGAGTCACGTGACGAGCTGAAGAATCGCTGCCAAATTGATCAAAAGGAAATTTTTGTGTCAAGCATTATTTTGAAGAATTCACCAGGTTTGGTTATTGTATTCTATTGTTTGAAATGTTATCATATTATAGTCATACTCAATAATACATATTCATTTTTATGCATAAAAAATAGGATTTGTATTAAGCAAGAGTTTACACGCTATGTAATTATTAAAGTAAATATTTAATTTATAATTTTTGTATATTATTTTTTTATTATTATTATTTGTTTCAAATGTTATTTATTCTCTCAGTTAATTGTATATGTATACACGAATCAATGAATTATAAACACGAGTTTTTCAGCATGTGTAGATTTATTGACAGCAATTACTAATTTATTAAATTTACAATTATACTTTTCCAGTTCGCACAGATAAACTTGAAGATGAATTTAATAATTTTCTGTTTACTTTTTCATAATTATTAATTTTAAAATATAATAAAATTAATTTGCAAATAAAACATGATTATGTTACATAAAAAAATTTTTCTGAAATTTTATTAATTCTGTAGAGTCAGTCAATTAAAATCATCAAATATTACATACAAAAATGTTGTAATCCTTCAATTTTTTACAAAAAATTAATTATTGTATGAGTATAGAAATACAATATAAAGTTAAATAAATCTGGGATGATAAATCTATGTTATATTATAAAAATATATCGCATGCATAAAAATATAATTAAGAATAAGATTTATAATTATAATTGACTTCAAGAACAAAGATGTAAAATTAAATAGAATTAACCATGATATTTTATTTAGAATGAGTTAAATTAGATTATCATTTTTTAAATAATTGTGAATACAATTTAATAATCAATTCAGTATAATTAAAAAGTATTGTAGTTGCAACATTATTTTACCGATTTTATATTTAAAATTAAAAAATTGATTCTTTTAAATAAACTTTATACTAATGAATGCATTAATATGAATTTTATAAATATGACTTTTTGCTGTTATTTCGTTGATTATACTATATTCATTGTAATATAAAATATGCGAAAATTGATTGACTGGAACTATAATTTAATATATTTTCTACTATCACTCCGTCTTACCATTTTTTTTTTTGTGAAAACGAAATTTAGTTTTCATATTAAATTAATGAAAATTAAAATAATCATGGTTTGAAAAATCATTAATTTAAAAAATAGTGTAAGTCTGTATTCTCTAGAATTTACTAAGTTTATATGCTATTACTACGAATAATATAATTTGAGTAAAATCTATTGTAGTATAAAAATGATTATTTTAAGTAGTTTTAAAATTACAGTAATTATGGCAATTATAGTAATTATGAATTATGTGTATATGATATATATATTATGATATATGATATATATATTATTATATGAAATTAGGTTTTAATAATATTTTATGCATCTATTTTAAAGAGTATTTTAATGATTAATTTTGGTTTATAATTATATATAATTAATCTTTATAACAAATGTATACAGTATTTTTTTAAATAACCACAAGCTATAATTAAACAAGTGTGCAGATTTATTATTACTTAAGTAACGGTTAGAAAATGTGGAATTTAACTTGAAATTATTTAATTGGAGATAGTATAAATTTTGTACGAATACAGTAAAACAAAGAGAATTAATTGAAACACATAGCAAGTGGAGTGAAAAAGAATAAAATTTAAATTTGTTAGAGCATGAAGTTTAATTATAGAATATAAAATGGAATTAGAAAATTCAATAATGTGATATTAAAGGTCCGAATAAATTATTAAAAAAATATTAAAAATACTATCAAATATATATTCTTATTTCGATATATTGCTGTCTCTTGTAGCAGATTACAGATAAGGAATACTGCATTCAAATTATTAAAGTTCATGGGGAATTGAAATAATACCATGTGATACTAAGTCAGTAGTTCAATTTTAATGAGACAGAGAGACCGGCATATATTACAAAATAAGGAAGTGCTATAATTCATTCGAACTAAAAATTTTAATAGTAACTGTATTATATGGTTAGAATGGATAGATAAGAAATGAGAAACGAGGGAGTATATAAATTTATAGTATAAAAAAAACCTTTAGATATATCAATTTTTAGGCGAACAAATAATCTTAAATTATAATTCGTTATCTCAAATTAATTTAGAATTAAATGCAAAAGAATAATATCTTAAATGTGCGATTTGATCAAGTTGCAACTTCTAGGCAATTGTAATAATGTAAGCAATATCGCAAATTATACTCTATTACTTTTATAATTAAATCAGTCTAAACGGTCCTTTAAGTTCCTGTACTTTAAAGTAAAGAAGTTACTGAAATTTTCAGAAGTTATTTTATAATTATTTTCTATTTCATGGAAATATGTGCTTGAAATTCTCTTTAAATGCACAAAAGCTTAGATACAAAAAGCATACTAAATAACTACTTGACAAAACACAACAATATAACAATGTTAAAAATCAATATGAAAAAAATTAAGACCATTTATCTGAATACTACACATTAGAATATATTCAAATGCAACTCCAAAGATACTTTTTAAAAAATTTGCAAAAAGTGAGGAGAGCTTTGAGACTTTAAAAAAAATGAAATAACTTTACATTTATACCTAAAAGTATAGTGCAAGAAAATGGCTGTACAGTGCTTCGAGCTCTAAAAATTTGCAATAAAACACCGTATTCACAAACGCATGTATAGGCAATAGCGATAGTAAGTGACATTCCCAAAACTTTGGTTCATTATAATTTCAGTACCTTCTCCCCTTGACTTTTCATACGAAACATTTTCCTCCGTGGCGTACGCTCGTGCAATCGTACCTGCTGCTGCTGCTGCTGCTGCTGCTGCTGATGCTGATGATGATGATGATAGTAGTGATGGATGGGTGTATGTCTACCCATGAATTTACTACTGACGAGATCGAGCAGGCTCTGCCTCGAAGAGAGAACACTCTTGGTCGAGACGTTTTCCATACTCTTGGTGTCGTCATCTACTCGGCCGTTCCCCGTACTCTGTTCCTCGCGCGAGTCGACGGCGGCCGATGTCACGATTCCTGAAACATATTTATTTTTTCGACTTTTATTCGACTGACACAGGCAATATTTGCACAATTATATGTACAAATGCAATCGTAATGAGCGCGATAAGTGCGATACTCTACGATCCGCACGTGACTTAACTTGAAGCAGTCGATTAAGAATGCTACTTAAATTATTTGGGTATTATTGAGACTGCAATTGATAATTTTATGTTAAGGCTTAATGCGCTTTTCGGTCAATTGGCAACATATTTTTATAATCGTTCATATTTAAAAATAAATATGTCGTTTATAAATATATCCAATTTGTAGATTGACATTCGACAATTGACTTCTACTCGTTTGATATTTTTGTTGATATAACTAAAATGTTAGTTTTTACTAAAAAATCTATTTAAGTCAAAAAAGTAAATGAACTTGATAATAAATGAAGTAAATAAAATGATTGAATTAACACTATTAATAATTGTAAGAATTTAACTAAATTTATGTAATTATTAATTTAATCTGTATTTGTCTTTTAATGTCTGATTTTTTTAATTTTAAATTTTATCATAATATACTATATATAATTTTGTATAATATTAAATGAAATAGTAAACAATACAATAAAGAGTAAAAAATGAAAATAATTTAATAATATGAGTTAAAAAAGAGTATTTAATAATATATATATATATATATAAATAAGATAAATATTTTACAAATAATGGCTCAGTTTTTTCTAATGTTAATGAACATAAATTTATAAAAAATGACAGTATTCTCTCTATATCCCTAATTTAGATTATTACAATGTAAGATGTCGATCTACTTATAATGTTAAAAAAACTAAAAGTATAGCTGATAATTTTTTAATGTAATTTTTATATCTTATTAATACCAATATAGTTTATATATATATATATATATATATATATATATATATAACAACCATCGACATCCATCAGATGACATCAGATATATATCCAGAATATCATATATATACATATAATATATATATTTATATATATAATCAAAATACATTATTTCATTGTCTAAAAATAAATAATTTCATTAGAATAATTGAATTCCATTATTTATTTATTTATATCTTATTTATTAATACTATTTATTTTTGTATTCTCTTTGATTTGATATTTTGTCTGTTTGCAGCATACAAATTCATCTAGAACACTATGTATCTTGGAACAAATTCATATTCATTTCTCTTTATATTTCCTTTTATATTACATATCTATTTTTATTCGTTTTTTTATAATATATTTTAGATTTTTATCAATTCATTTGAATAACTATAACATTTAAAATATTTTTTTAAGTTATATATAATATTTTTGATGATTTTAATTTTTATCTATAATGCAATACATTACAACATTATACAATAAAAATGATGTCATAAGTGAAGTGGTATTTTTATTAATAAAATATTATAGATTTAAAATATTTATTATATAATTAACAGCTAATTATAAGAAAGTATTAACTTATACATTTTTATTGATGAATGATACATAGATATATTCAATTATATGCTCATACTCATACTTATTTATTATAGTGTGTCATATAATTTTAATGTTTAATAGTATATTAATTATTATTAATGGTTTGATATATTTAAGTCCACATTATTATCAAACAAAAGTATACGTTTTAGTTTTCCAATATTAATATATAATAATTTCAGTCATTATAAATCTGTATATTAATGATATCATCAATGTTATAAAAATTTATCTTATATAGAGAATTAGTTAATAAATTATATGTTATTTTTACATATTTATTAGTAAAAAATTAATCTTATTGTAAAGACATTTGTTGCCACTCATTTAAGAATTTAAATGAATTACTTTGTATCTACGTTCTCAATAATCAGCTTTATGTAATAACCTTTAATCAATAGAATCAAAAGCATAAGAGCAATAAGATTTTGCAAGTTAATTATATATCAAAGTTTTCACGTTATGTGAATATAATGCTTATATTATTACTATGTGCATATAAATTCATTTAAAATATATGTTAAATTTTTTAGTCCAATGAAGCAGTTATATCATTTTGAAATTTTTGAATAAACGTATTTTTTTAGTGATAATATACCTTAAAGTATAAAAATAATGAACGGGTAATTAGGGAAAAAAATTAACTACTAATAATAGAAATCTAACTATTTAGTTGAAATTTGGCAGTATTTTAAACTTAAATTTGTTGATGTGTTACGTATAAATTTAACAATTCACTCAATATTTCATTTCTAATATATTACAATTTAGTAGAACATCTTCAATTTATGAAGTTTCGAAAGATAATAGTTTCGAAAGATAAAAGACTTTATATTATAAATTTGATACTTTGAAGAGCTCGAAAACTTTAAAGCTTCGACAGGATAGCATTTTGTAATTACACAGTTATGTGTATTCATCAATTTCATTTTAATATTACATGCTTTATTTTATATAAAATATAAGCTTCTAAAAATTCCAACTCATATTACGGTTATATTTGAATTGAGTGTATTTAATTATAACAAGTAGATTATTTTTTTTACAAAAATTAGAATTAGTCGAATGGTTAATAATAAAGATTTGAATACATATATGAGTATTCGAATTAGAAATAAGTATTTGGTTCTATTTTTATAATTTCTAGAATGTATCTTTATTATTGTGTAATAATTGATAATATTTCGTATAACTACAAAGCTGATGTATAGAGAAAGGAAAAGGGGGCTCGATATAATGTAATTTAACTGGTTGTTTGATGTCTGGTTTGATCGAAAGATTTTTTAAAATTTTATATTGCATAAGTTACCTTTATCGCTTTCATTAAACAATCTTGATTTAATATATTTTTCATTTAAATGTATTATTTTTGTATTCTTTATTATCCTTATCATTATATCAAAATCAACTAATACAACACCTTTTTGTTTCATTATGAAATTCTTGGGTATTAAAATTCACAATAAAACGCTGTAAAGTATTTTTCACGTTACTATCATAAAATAATTTGAAATTATACATTAAAGTAATTTATCACTAATATTTTTTATAGAATTTCTATTAATAAATTACTTTGTTGTGCGTAATGTTTTATAGATCATAAATTTCTTATCAGATCTACAATGTTTTAACTCTATGAGCAATTTACATCTGTTTGCATGTACGTTTTCAATTTTTATTTTATATCCATGAAAAAATTCAGTCTTAGGAGAATTTTTTCACATTCGAAATTTTATAACAAAGTTATTTAGAAATTTAAATTTGCTTCGTTTATTTTGCTTCGTTTGCTTTTATTTATATTTTATTTTTTAATTAAAAAAGTATTAGCTATTATATCTCATATGTAAAAATAAAAAAACTATTTTTAATATGGTTAAGAATAGATTATCTAACTAAATCAGTACCTTACGTCCTGTGCAAAATTACGAAATAAGAGAAAGAGTTTATTCTACAGATCTAATGACGCAACGGCGCAACTCAATGCCGCATAGTCAATGCAGTATTAGTAATAGGAGCAGAACTTGCGTCATCCAGGTTTAATCGAGCGGCGCAAGCATGTAACGCGTCATTTCGAGCGTGCAAATCTCATATACCATATACACGATAGGGAAGCTTAAGTCCAAGCTAACTGTTTAATAAAGGCACACTTGAATGAGAGGTGAGGCTGTTCCGAACTTGCTAAGCGAACTTATGGAAATACCGGTGTATAGATAATATCAACCCCAATGACGAGATTCTGCACTTATAGAACAAACTATAGTATTATAGATTAAATTGATTAAATGCAGCATTACTGTTGTACGATAGTACGAGGTTGTATATATTAAAGTATAGGCCAAAAAGGTGTCTGTGTTTACTGAATTCTGATCTTTGCATTAGAGAGAATTTATATATATATTTTACCAAACGAATCTCCATATACGCAATTTACATTTATGAATAGACCATGCAGTGAACTAAGATTATTTAAATAATTCTATGTATTGAGTATACGTATCGATGGAAATTTTATGTGTTGAAATTTCAGATAATATCGCATTCAGATGTGGTACACCTCAATAAATTTCTATATACTTTATAGAAACTATTACGTATCAAAGAGACCACTATTTATGCTACTATTAATTATATTTTATCAATACTTTGCAGCAAAGTGTGATTAGACATCAAGCTATCTAATTCTATCACGAAGTTCGTTAAATTTAAATTGTGTTGGTGTATGTACATCACACATATCAATTGAAACATTAATAATTCTATTATTAATTGTATGATTTAGTACATTCACCTGTATGTTATAGCAAATACTTTTAAGAAAATGACCATATATTATAAATTATTTTACATTTTAAAATAGTAAATACACATACACAGTAACTAGAAAACACAAATTATATAAAAATTATAAAAATAATAAATAATATTATTATTAATAATAATTATTAATTATTAATCAAATATTATTTTTTAATATTTTGATATTTTTTATATATTTACTATATTTTTATTTTTAATATAAATATTTATAACTATTTTTCTTAATCAACTAAATATAGAGCCATAATATTACAATTACCAAACTGCTTTTATTCGAATTAAATCAATTTTTAATATAAATAAAATTCAATAAAGTAGTTGAATTATAACCATTTCTTAATTTTATTTTATCATATTCTAAAATAAAATAAAATTTAAATAAAAATTTCAATAAATTACGTTAAAAAATGAAACAATATACTATATTTTTAAATACCAATTAACTAATAATTA